TTTGATGATACATAAGCAGTTAAGCCCCTTCCAATTTGTTTTCCCTATTGGCATATTTGCTATTAATTTTATAATCTCATGTTCGTCCATCTTAAAAATGAAAAAGTCCTTGGTTCCTTGACTGTAATAAAGACATGATCTTCAGGATAATTTATTCAGCAATTTTCATCAGAAAATATTTCAAGGTATGACTACATCTTTTTACGCAACTATCTAGTATTTTATGATTTTTGCTCTCTATGACGTTGTATTGTTAGTTAAACAATTGATTCTTTAAATGTAGTCCTCTCAGGACTACTCGTTTTCCTTTAGAGCTTGCTGGCCCAGTGGCTCCCTACTTCTGCTGATCTCAGGTGTAGGCACTTTCATCCTCGAAAGAGTATATCTTAACAAAGATAACTTCTGGTCAACCTTTACAGTCCACTTGTCCTTCGGGCTGGCATGTTTCAGTGTAGCAGCTTTTGTGATGTGAGTATTTTTTTTTTATTGCCATTTTCTGTTGTAACCAAAATATTATCTCGATACTATGTCGTGATAATTTATTTATTTTTTCTCATCACCAGATATCAGAAAGAGAAGCCATTTATTAAAAAAATCATACATTTCCGTGAACATGCTGATTGAAGCTAACTGATGACAGAAGGTTAGATATACATTATCATATATTTTTTTTATATATAAAAATTTTGTGTGAGGCATCATTAGGCATCCGTACGTCATAATTTTTTTTCTTTAAAAATGCATATATTTATGTTATTAAATGACATACTTTTTGTTTATCTTGTTTCCTAAAGTATATCATTCCAGTTTGAAAGTATGCATATTCGTTTATTAATTATTGAATTTTGATATTACTTTCTAGAATTATTATTGAAGAGAAGACTGGATTGATTATTAGACATCTGATGAAGCAGTATACTTGATAGTCTCGTTATTTTCTGTAAAATCAGTGAAATTTTGTGGATATTGTTTGGAACATGTCTAATATGTGTCACAATCAAATGGAACCAGCCTTCCATGGTTGATTTTTTTGATTCTGTGTATGTTCCCGATTTTCGGGACAAAAGAAATAGAAAATATTGTGAACGCCCAAACAATTGAAGCCCTCTTTTTCCTCGACACATAGACGCCTCTTTCTTTCATGTTTTGTTTCTCCGTGTTGTTTTCTCCTCCTCTCAACTTTTTTTAGTTGGCCTTTAAATTTGGGATATTATTTATATATACTGTTGACTTTTAAAGATTTATAATAAAGAACGATATGTTAAAATTATGAATTGAATAATTCAAAGAAAAATTAATTATATCTTATTTTTATGTATATGTATAAACCAACAAGTATCGAGATTTTAAAATTTTAAATTAATTATTTTAGTCGAGATTTTAAAATTTTAAAGTAATTATTTTATCAATATCACATAGCATAGCAGATTATATAAAAGCAGAGAGAAAATTCGGTAGATTATGATTAAAATTAGGTAAAACTAGAAGCCAATAAGATAAAATACAAAAAACAACGAAAACTAGGGCTTTTGTAAAACATAACATTGTTATACGATTTCGTCATACCGTCAAAGCAAGACAAAGGTAGGGGCAAAATTTATGTAAACTAAGCTAGTTTGGAAAATCTCACAATTGGACTGGGAAGAAAGTCACCAGGCTACTCTTTCCTTTAAACAATGGTGGTTGCAGATTTGTACACTTGACAAGACAGAAATTTCTGAAGCCAGGACTCAACTATCAACATACATATTATGGTGGTTGTGGAGGTCTAAGTATCTATGGCTATTTGAAAGAGTGTGGATTTCTAAATTGATGGTGGCTAAAGGTGCTAAGAAAGAATGGCAGGAGTTATCCTCTGTATCTGGTTTGCTGTAATGTCCTTTGTTTTTGTCTGTTTTAGTTATTTTTGTTATTGGAGTGGGCGTTTGTTTTCAGGGGTTTGGGTTTTCTATCCTCATTGGTTTGTTAGCTTCTCTGTAGGGCTGCTGGTGTTTCAGTGATTTGTGTGAGTTTGCTGTTGGAGGTTGTTACCGGCTAAAGGCTTCAGGGTGTTAGACCTTACTTTAGTTGTGTAGTTGGTTTGTGTCTAGACCACTGTTCAAGTGAGTCTCTCAGTGTGTTTGTTCCCTTGTGGGATTGTATCGGGCTTGTAAACTCTTGCTTTTCGTTCATTGGAGATTTCTATTGTTTGGGAAAAAAATAACGGTAAATCGACTACACGTGAAAATCGGTTTTAACTGTCTGAATAATTTTTTTTACATTGCTTAATTCAAAATCAACTCAATTCAACTCTTCTCAATATTATAAATAAAATTAAATAATATCAATCAATTATCTTCAGACATCACATCAATTTTAGTTCACTATTCTTTTATCCACATATTTTTTATAACCTATTATTTTTAATAACATATCTTCTACTTTTATATCACATCAGCTTTAATCGTTACATTTTGAACATTATTTAAATACAAATTTAAAATTTTATCTAGTTCTGCACTCAATAAACTTTATTCAATATTAACTCATTTTAACAAATAAATCAAATGAAAACTAGTTTTTATTTATATCCAGTTGCCCCCTAAAAAGTTTAAAAGATAAAATAATAAAAAATGCTAAAATACTCACCTCTAGCACCTACGCTTAGAAGTGAATAAAGAGAAAATTATTCATTTAACAATCCAATGGCATTTATATTGCACGTTTACAGTATATTACTCCCTCCATTTTGAAATATAAGGCGTATAAAGATTTCTCATTTTTTTTGAAATATAAGGCACGCTCAAAAATCAAGACAAATTTTTGCATTTTTTTCCAAATATACCCTTATTGTGTTGAAATTAAGGAAGTGTGGAGTGGTTGTGATTAGAGTAAATAAGGTTAATTTAGTCAATTTATTCATTAATTAATGTCTCCTTAATATTTGTGCAATAACCTTAAATGCCTTATATTTCAAAATGGAGGGAGTATTTAGCAAATCTATCATTATATAAACAGATTTACCATTTAATATTTTTGGCAACCTTTTCCCGCCATCTACATTTATTGACTACTATTTATAGATGTTCAGACAAATTTCATCTCGCATTGAATGACGACGGAAATCTGTTTTCAATCTTCCGCTTTTTGCTCATTAAAATCACAGCATTATAAATCTTCTTTGCGTACAGGATTTCCGATAAACCAGACAAAAATTTCCATTTTTTGAATTTTGAAAACGCGTACTGATTTTAAGATAATTGAGGCGTGTATCAGCAAAATATATGGAATTTGTTAATTTGTTAAGATAAACTAAGAAAGAGTCCATTTTGCATATCTCTTTTAATTTGTTAAACGATTTTGTTAGCAAATTAATAAATTCATTGACATTCATTCACGTGTAGATCGGATCTCAAGAGTCCCACAGATCTGATTTGCTCTTTTTTTGGCCACATTTCCTGCATTCGAAAAAAATAAATCTATATAAAATAATTAATTAATTTAAACATTTTATTTCTGATAGATATATATATCCAACAGCATACATTAACCGTGTACAAACAATTCATATTCATATCTTAAAAGAAAAAATCATTCTCTCCCATGGATCAATCTTTTGGTTTAATCGACGAGATTAGTAGGAGCAGGAGACCCATGCTCAAAGTTAGAATTGTGAGAATGTATTTTCATGATAAAGGCAGCACATACAAGTCTCACATGGAGTTTATTTTGCATGATAAAACTGTAAGCATATTGTTTCTTTATTATTTATCAGTATTAAAAATTGCAAATATGAATATTTGTTATTTACATATCATATTGTTATTAACTACTTTTCAATTGGCTATTTCAATTTTTTTGCAAGGGAAAACGCATTACAGCGATTCTGCGAGCAGTGTACTTGCCAGGCTTCAGAGAGAAGGAAATTGAAGAAGGCATGGTCATTCTTATACGAAACTACCAAGTTGACTCAAACATTGGAATGTATCGATCTACAAACGGCGAGTTTAAGATAATACTACATGGTAGCACAATATTTTTGAAAACCAAAGATAATTTCCCCATGCTCCGATTTGAATTCAGAAATTTTTCAAAGCTGCAAGATGTCAACCAAATTGATGAATCAATTCTTTTCGGTAAGATTAATTTCTTTCGAAATGAATATTATTTGGCTTTTTTTTATATATTAATCAATTATCAATTATTATGAATAATATCGTTGATGCAATTTTATTTCTTTGTAGACGTCATTGGATTAGTTGTTGATATCCAAAGTGTCCAGGATAAGCAAGTCAAAACTGGTGATACACAGATGGTTGCCTTTACTCTCATGGACTTGAAGTACGTCCATTTAATTGAAAAATTTTGTATTACGATTATATTAATAAATTCCATATTAATAATTTTATTATATAAATGCAGTGAGAATTTTATAAACTGCACTGTATGGGGTGACTATGTTGACAAATTATTGGCTTTCGAGAGCCACTATGAACATACTGGTGAGCCATGGGTGCTCATAATGCAGCAAGCACGAATGAAAGAATATCTTAGTAAGTCCATTAATTATTTGTTTCGAAATTTTTATAATTAATCCAATGACATACGAGCCAACATCTAACATTTTTTTGGCTTTTGTAGAAAAAGTTCAAGTTACTACTTCCTTAAACGTGACTAAGCTAATTGCACACAACTCAGTGGAGGAAATCCATGACTTTTGGAGAAGGTTAACTTAAATTTTACCTTCACATCAATTTATTTATATATTTCAGTTCTTATTTGTAACATATGTTAGAAAACAAATTTATATGTGTAGGTACACTACAAGCAATTTGAATAAGACAAAATACAATTCAAAGTCAAAAACTGTAGTGAACACTGAGTTGGAGGAGTTGCAATCGGGTGATATTACAGTTTGTTCTGCAGATGCTTTGTTTCAAACTAAAGAGGTATATTTTTTTTTCGAATTTTAATAACTATTGATATTAATTCGTAATATATAAAATAATAATGTATATGTATAATTTATAACAATTGTTTTATTGGAATTTTTCTTAAGGAGAAAAACATATGGATATGTGCTTCGGTTGACTCTACTGTGGACGATTGGTGGTACTTTGCATGCCGCAGTTGCAGCAGCAAAATGCTTAATTCCGACACTGGTTTCAAGTGTAGCAAGTGCTCAAAAGAAGTTGGGAAGTTCAGGTATTAAAATATTTTTCAGAATATAGTTTATAATTAAGGTTGAATATTTTGGTCCTAACTATTTTTTTCATCATAGATACAAGATGAATTTGAGTATTTCGGATTCAACAGCTTTTGCCCCTATTGTCTGTTGGGACAAAGAGTCTGAGATCCTCATTGGAAAACCATGTCATGTGTTAAGAACTGAATTCATGCGCAAGGTTTTTTTTCTATACTTATTATTTGTTTAAGATTATTTAATTTTTTATAACTATAATAAGTTTCTGATTATTTTTTTCATATAGAATGTTGAATCTTTTAAGTTGCCTGAAGAAATCAAGAGTTTGACTGGACAATCGGTTCTTTTTAAAGTTCGTATTCAGCAGCAGCGCTACTCGAGCACATCTTCATTTAGTGTTTGCCGGGTTATAAATGACAAAGACATTGTTTCGAAGTACAGCCAGCTCATAGTTGCACCGGAGGTTGTATATCAAATTCTCAATGTTTCATTTTACATAATTAACTATAGTGCTAACATTATGTGTTGAATATAATAGGTATCAGACTTTTTGACCATGCTTGGTGGAGATGATAGCAACTATTATGTGGTAATAATTTACCTCATTTTTAATATACATTCATTTTCGAAATGTTAATTCTAATTTATTATCACTTATTCACTTTTTTATTTTTAATGTTTACTAATTAATATAATCTTATAGGATGACAATGATGAGGAAGATGAGGTTTCTACACCTCTAAAAAATGCGAAGGGAATTGAAAAGGTTGGCGATACTTCGACGAAGCGAAGTTTGTGCGATGCATTCGAGTCCGAAGATCCTAACACGCTAATGTCTACGACCCTTGATAAAGGGAAGGCAAAGGTCTATGATGACGGTACTCTTATGCAGCAGGAAAATGCTCAAGAAAAAAGTGATTGAAGAATTTCATTAGATAAATAATTATAAGTACTAGAAGTTATTTGTTGGTTTATTAGAAGGCATTTATTTTTTAAGTTTATTACTTTAGTTTACCTAAGACAGCATATAAGCTGTTGATGTTCAATTCATATTAGACGCAGAGGACAGCTTTAATAAATAACTGCTTCTTATGATTTATTTAATTAATTAGTCATTTTTTTTTATGTTCTCTATTTAAGTATATTTCCTACAGTAATCTAAACTATCTCTAACACAATATGCATTAGTAAGTAATAACAGTACATGAGTATAAAAAAAATATACTAAAAATACAACCATACAGAAAGCTCTAACACATCACATCAATTACTCTACTCATACACACGAATACATTGACGTTAATAAATAAAAAATATACATATGTGAACAAATAAAACACGCAAATGTGCAAGACAATTCAGAAAACTATATATAAGAATGGTGGTATTATTCTAATCCTGATATTTTTAAAAAATCTTTGAATTAATACAAACTCTATAATCCTGTTATCTTAATAAATTATAACGATTCGGTTGGAAAAATTGATTGTACACATTTGCAATAAGTTTATTCTAATTAAAATTTAAATAAATCTATATTTTAAATCAGAGTATAATTGAAAACCAAACAATATTCTATTATTTAAGAAGTTAATACATATTTTTTATTTAATTTTATTTAAGGTAATACATATTATTTAATTAATATGTACAACTAAAATCACGTGTGAAATATAACCGGATTTTCAGTCAAATTAAAAAAGAGTTTTCCTTTACTGAAAGTCTTTAAAACTCATCCAAATCAAAGAAGATCTTTTTTTCCTGATATAATCTATATCTATATATTGCTTTCATCTGTCTCGAAATTTCTTATCTTCATAGTGCACGATGTAAGTTTATTTTTTTTCTTTCAATCTCTTCCTCATATCATATTTTTAATATTCCTACGAAAATTTTTTCAGTAGACAGAAACTGAAAGAGAAGAACTCAAAGGGAAAGAAGCAGAAACACAAGTAAGAGGGCACCAACCTATAAATTTAACATAAGCCGACAAACAACACAAACCAACATGGCAGAGGATGAACATTCCAATCCAAGTAATACTTCTTATCAGATTTTAATTTCATCTAATGTTT